TGATAGCTAATTCATTGATAATTCAGTGATAGCTAATTCATTGATAATTCAGTGATAGCTAATTCATTGATAATTCAATGATAGCTAATTCGTTGACAATTCAGTGATAGCTAATTCATTGATAATTCAATGATAGCTAACGATAGTCCATTCACTTCTGGAGAAGGTTTCCTTGTAAATTTTCATTTTAAAGATTCGTAGTTTTAGCCACACAATATCATGTTAAGATTTGTCTTCATGAACTTTTTATTATTCAATAATAGCTTACTTTTATTGTTTATTATACCATATCATATATGTTATTATAACATAATATATTATACTATACAGCTTTCACTTTCTTCCTCTTTGACCTTTTAGAGTGATCACAGTCCAGCTGGATGAGAGCAGTCCTGTAGAAATGAGGCTGGGCACATTAGCAGAAAGCAAGACATTAAACATATCCAGCCTGTACATTGGAGGCATTCCAGAGAGGAAAGCGGCCTCTGTGCTCAAAATGAGACAGTCCTTCCACGGCTGCATCAGAAACCTGATATTTAACATGGAGTAAGTGTAACTGTGCGCTAAGCATGTTTTTACAATTTTTTATCTTATAATGGTGAGTGTGAATTACTAACCTGCAATCTAATTTTGCTACTTGAAAGTGTCTAAAAATTCTGCAAGTTCCTGGATAGCAAGTGAGCGACATTTTCCATCGTGACACTTCCCTCAAGTAAATTTTATTAGATTAGAATGATGACTGATACACACATACACATGCACCCATATACTTGGATACATAGTCATTACACAGTAGTCCGACCAACTTGTGAATAAATATCAGAGGTAAATATATATATATTTAATTTTTAATCATTTTATTGGGAGCTCTTATAGCTACCATAACATTTCATGGTTCAATCATATCAAGCAATATTGTACAATTGCTACCACAATCTGTGACAAAATATTTTCTTTCCTTTTGAACTTCTTGATATCAGCTCCCCTTTATCCCTGCCCTCCCCCACCCTACACCCAGGAACCCTTGTTTTTCATTTTTCCCGATAATAGTTTTTTTCCATATCTTACACAATTCAGTATATCCATTCACATATAATTCTATTGTTTGATCCCATCTAGTGGCATTATACAATCATCAAGGCTATTTTCACAAACACTTAGAATATGGAGATGGTGTGATGCAAATCACTTATATTTTTAACTCATTAAATTGAATAAGAAAAATGAAGAGAATTAATGCATTTGAATTATGATGTTGGCAAAGAATATTGAAAGTACCATGGACTTCCCAAGCAGCAAGGAAATCTGTCTTAGAAGAAGTACAGCCAGAATGCTCCTTAGGCGCAAGGGCAGTGAGATTTCATCTCACATACATTATCCTTGTTTTCAGGAAAGACCAGTCTCTAGAAAAGCACAGCATGCTTGGGGGGAAAGGAGATTGATTGACACAGTGGCGGAAACCATGGGCTCAAACACAAGCCACAGTGCTGCGGATGGCCCGGGACTGGGCAGTGTTTCACCCTGTTGTACATGAGATGACTCGGGTTGGAACTGACTCAACGGCCACTAACAACAATATTCTTGCAGCCACAGTGTGCCTTCTAACTAGAGGAGTCATGTTCAACTCTATCAAATCCCGTGCCATCAACTTGATTATGACTAAGAATGTCCATATAGGACAGGGTATAACTGCTCCTGTGGGATTTCCACGACTGTAGCTATGGAAGGAGACAGCCATACATCCCTACTGGGTATCAGTTGGTGAGCTCAAATCAACAACTTTGTGGTTAGCCCTGAGTGCTCCTACCATTGTGCCACCAAAGTGCCCTGTAGAGGGCTTAGCATACAATATGGATTCTGTTGGAATTTATAAGCTTTCCTTTGGTAATGTTCAGAAGTGGGTCACCAGGGCCTGTCTTAGCCTAGAGATCCCATTGAAACCTGTCAACTATGGGTGACACCTCTGAAATACCAATGACATTCTTCTAGTATCATAACAACATGTAAGCTGCTGTAGTACAGCAAACTGACAAACAACCCATGTGATTGAGTTGATTCCCAGTCTACCGGACAGAATAGAACCACCCCCGCAGGGTTTCCAAGACTGTACATCTTAATGGAAGTACTGTGCTTCATTCTCCTCCCGTGGAGTGACTGGTGAGTTCCAATTGCTGATCTTTCAGTTAGGAGCCACAGGTTTATCCCCTGTGCCACTAGGATCCTTTGACCTGACAGGTGGGTGATGATCAATTACTACAAAACTCATAAAATTGGTAACATGTTAATGATTTAATTGTGCATTTATAAATGACATTAGTTCAGGTCTTGGTTCATAATAGCTGGACTTAGAATACACTTTCTTGTTTGTTTCTAGACTTCTAGACTTTACTAGTGCAGTTGGCTATGAACAGGTGGACTTAGACACCTGCTTGCTTTCAGAATCAGCCAAGTGGGCTCTTCAAGGAGAGGACGCCGCACGTCTGCCAGAACCGCAACCTCTACCCAGTCCAGTAAGTAAGGTCTTTCACTGTAGCATCCAGCTCCGAGCAGAACAAAGGAACCCGGGCCAGATGAAATTGCAATGGGGAACTATTAACCCAAGATTTGGAGAGGCTGGTGGGGCCAACTGGAGTTACTCAGTCCTGGATGGTGTCAACAGAGCTTGAGAGTTCGGGCTGCTCAGAGGGATCTGGGTCACAGAGAAGGTCAATGGATTATCAGGTTGGAAGCCCAGAGAAGAAAGGCACAGCTAGAAAGGTTACCTGAAGAGAGAAAACCAGAACACAATGCCATTGGGTTAATTCCAGCACGTAGTGACCTGCATAGGGCTTCTGACACGGTAAATCTCCGTGAAAGCCGACAGCTTTCTCTTTCTCCCAAGGACTGGCTGGTGATTTAAATTTCCAACCTTGCAGTCAACAGCACAACTCTGAACCCACTGCACAACCACAGCTCCTTAAGAGGAACTGAAGAGAGGGAGAAATACTCGTTTCTTCTCTCCCCCTTCTGGCAGTCTCCCACCCGAACCTTTCATGGACAGACCCTAATTGCAGCTAGTCTCAAACAAGCTTGGAAAGCTTGCTCACTCACCCCCCCTGAAGAGTTAAAAAGTTAGTCACCCAGGAAAGGGCGGAGAGTGGTTCTCCGAGCAAATGAAAAGGTGATGCAGTTCCGGGTGAAGGTTTTTACCATAACTTGGTTGCCATGCAACCAGATTTTGGATGGGGTTTCTATTAGGACTCCCTCTCGCATTAGATTCACTGTAGGAACACAAAAATAAGTACTTCAGATGAAGGGGCATCAAAGGTTTTGTAGAAAGTGGAATTAAAAGATAAGATTTTCCTCAAAAAATTCACATAAGACTTCATACATATTATTGTAACCTTTTTAAAAAAAATGAAAGATTTGATTCATATAGGAAGCACTAGTTCTAACCAAGTATTTTCTTAAAATAATGGTTGGGTGCGTGTAATCGAAAGTATACACAGAAGAATATGTGACACTTCAGCAGTTTCTAGATGTACAATTAAGTGACATTGATAATATTCTTCAAATTGTACAACCATTCTCATTCTCTGCGTCCAAATGGTTCTTCCCCCATTAACGAACCCTTGCTGTCCCGTGCCTAGTCATTCCTGTGGTTGTCCACTTGATCCTGCATAGACACATTTTTGAAGAATACAGCGATCAAGGCAGATATTCTTTATCCTCGCACAGCCACCCAGTTGATGCCAACTCATAGCAACTCTGTAGGCCAGGGCAGAATTCTCCTGGGAGTTTCTAAGATGAATTGTTTACGGGAATAGAAAATCCTCTCTCTCTCCTGAGGAGCGAACTGGTGGTTTCAAACTGCTGACTTCCAGGACCTCAGCTCAACGTTTAACCACTAGACAACCAGGGCCATTTTGAACTAAGCCAATTTGGTTAGTTTTAAGAAGAATTCAAGGCATATTTTTAATTTAAGTCTTAACAATTATCTCACGGTAATGATTTCAGGAATTCATCCAGACTTTATGGCTCCAGAAAATCTGGATTCCATGAGAATTTGAAATTCCATTCTGAATTGATTCCCCCTTTTGATGAGTATTTTCCCATAGAATCTTTATTCAGTAGTTCAATCATGATACCCCAGCCCCGTTGGGTTCTTCGAGTGTTAGGGCAGATATAGTTACAAAAATGACCCCCAAAAGAGAAGAGAGTAGCTTCTGAGGCTGCTATGTACAACCCAGACACTTTGTAAGACTCTGATTCATGGTTTCCTTTGGCAGCCAGTTAATTAGCCAAAAACTGTGTTCAGTGATCTGTTCTACTTCCTTATTTCCTGCAGTGTCAGGGGTTGGAAAACCTTGCAAGTGAAAGTACATTGGGAAGTTGATTATGACAGATGTAGTTAGGTTAAAATCTAACACTTTATCTATCATGTGATCTCTTTTTGACCCATTTTAAAATTGTTCTAGCTTTTAATATTTTCTGCTTTCTTTTTGATTGAGGATTTTCTCTGTTTTATTTTATTATTGTCATTTTTGGTATGTTTTTCTATATATGAAATTCAGGATAGGTAATTCTATACAGATAGTATCTGCATTCGTGTTTTCTTGGGACTGTGGAGTGGGGGGTAGGATGGGAAGTAATAACAATGCGTACTAGAAAGTAGAAAATGTTCTAAAACTTATGGTGGTAATGATTGTGCAACTCTTTTTTATTGGGTTTAACTTGAATTCAATGCTATGTGGATTATATGCCAATAAAACTTTAAAATAATAATTTTTTTTAAAAAAAGCTTGCAAGTGGACATCCCACATGTCACAATTGGTCTGTGTTCCCCGGAGCAACAGAGGCAGTAGGAGAGTCTGGGCTAGGAGGAAAAAGTGGAAAGAGTGTGTGTGGCTATTTGGCTACATGAAAAACTGCATCTTTTACCTTGACCGTGTATTTTCTCCATTGGATTTTTCATATTCCTTGATTTAAAACAATGATTTGGATGGTGGCATTGAAGCAGTGGCAGGACTCAGCCTGTTTGCACAAGTTCAGCAGACTAATATCTACTTTCTTCTTGAATTAGTGAACCAATTGTTGAAAAGGGTGCTTGGAGTCAGAGTTCTCTCTATGGTGGCCAGTTGAGCAGCTGCCCAGTGGAGAAATCACAAATTTGCATTCCTCACTCATGTTTAACATTCACTGCACAACTGCAGATTCTAAATGTCCATAGGAATGTCCGTGCCACCCATTGGTATAAAGGTTTAGACAGAATTAAGGCTTTTATATTTATTTATTCATTTCATAAGGCTTGGTATACTTGTGATGAAATGCCACATTTTCACTCTCTTGATTTTCTTTTTCCAGTAAGCAAGCATATAAAGTAGAGAGAAAACCTGCCAAACAGCCCGACAGGGACAAGCTCTCCTTCCTTTCAGCTTTGTTTTAGGCCCAAAGTCCCATGAGAGCTTCCGAGTGAATTGTGCCATTCCTGAAAGTGTTCAGCGAACTAAGGATATTGTCAGAATAATTGCTGCAATTCAGCACAAACAGAAGGAATTTTTCAAAGATGAACATAATATGTTCATAAAAATGGTCTGTTTCTAATGTATCAAACACTGTGACTGTTGTCTAATTAGCCTACCGCTAAAGGAATGGGATCCTACTGCTACAGTGAAAAGATGGTTAAGGATAAATCACACAGCCAATGATGCTCAGATGAAAGTAAAGAATATTGCAAGTGAGGCACCAAACAAGAAGCAATATGTAAATATCTTAAATAGCTGTTTTATTGGTTTTGGGCCAGGTATTATTTAATATTTTCATTAGTATTTTTAAACTCTTCCTAACGATATAGTCTAGTGTTGTATACTTCTTGTTCTTATTCAAATGTTAGCTATGTAAAAGAATAAACTACCTTTCAGAATATTGTTTTTAATATTTAAAATGGTCATCAGGGCAGCAATGGACTGTTAAATTGTTTGAATCTTACTCCTGAACTTGAGTGAATTTGAGTCAAATTCAGGGGGAAAAGAAGCACAAGTTGCCTTCCTAGGGGGAAAAATGTAGCATTTCATCAGAAGTATACCAAGTTTTATGAAATGAATTAAAAAATATTAAAACTTTATTCCATCTAATTCTTTATAACAATGGACAGCATGAACATTACTATGGACACTTAGAATATGCAGTTGTACAGATGAATGTTAACAATGAGTAAGGGCAAGTACTCGCTCAACACAAGAACACTTTGTTCTAACAATCCACCATTCTGTGATGCTCACCTTCCCCACATGGTCGCTGAAGACAAAGTGGGTGCATAAGCAAATGTGGTGAAGAAAGCTGATGGTGCCCGACTATCAAAAAATATAGCATCTGGGGTCTTAAAGGGTTGAAGATAAACAAGCAGCCATATAGCTCAGAAGCAACAAAGCTCACTTGGAAGAAGCACATCAGCCTGTGTGATCATGAGGTGTCAATAGGATCAAGGATCAGGCATCTAAGACCCAGAACAAAACCTTACCCAAGGTGAATGGGGTTGGGGGCAGGCATGGAGTGGAGACCCAATGCCCATCTGTAGACAATTGGACATCCCCTCACAGAGGGGTCAAAGAGAAGAGCTGAGCCCATCAGGGTGCAGTATAACACCAATGAAATAAACAACTTTCCTCTAGTTCATTGGTGCTTCCTTCACCCTACCATCATGATCTCAATTCTACCTTACAAATCTGGCTAGACCAGAGCATCCACACTGCATCCAGAGCATCCACACTGCAACACAGGGAATCCAGGATAGATTAAACCCTTCAGGGCCAACAATGAGAGTAGAGTAGGATTAGGCGATGGTGGGGGGAGACAGGGGAAATTGATCATAAGGATCAATTTACAACCCCCTCCCAGGGGAACAAATAACAGAAAAGTGGGTGAGGGGCAATGGAGGATGATATAACATATGGAAATATTAATCTATAACTTATCAAGGGTTCATGAGGGAGGGTGGGGTGGGGAGGGAAGAAATGGGTAGCTGATATCAGGGGATCAAGTGGGAAGAGAATACTTTGAAAATGATGATGATGGCATATGTGCAAAGGTGGATGAATGTATGGATTGTGATAAGAGGTGTAATGGCCCCCAATAAAAGTATTAAAAATAAATTTTAATGAGTAAGGGAGAGTTTGACCCAATTATTCAAAACAAAGATGATGCATTGAATACTAATGACAAGAGATGTTATGAGCTTCAGGAGGACACCAAGAACATCATGCAAGAAAACCAAAGCTCATTAAAAGACAGGAAAGAAAGATAACATCAAAGTGGATTTCAGAAGAGACTCTAAGGCCTGCTCTCAATCATAGAGTAGCTAAGACGAATGGAAGAGATGATGAAATCAGAGCTGGAAATGTCAAAGACCAAAATTTCAAGAAAACAAAGTAAAATATAAGGAAATAAGTAAAGGGGTCAGGTTTTAGAAAACTAAAAAAAGAACATGCTCAGTATATCTTAAACTGAAAAACTAAAGAAATTATTCAATCCTCAAGTTGCAATATAGAAAGAGTGGGTAAAATTATTGGGTAAAATATCAATGATGTAGAAAGCACCAAAAGAAGATGGATATACAGAGACACTGTACCAAACAAAAAACAATTGCCATTTCATCATTTCAAGAAGTGGCATATGATAAAGAGCCAGTGGCACTAAAGGAAAAAGTGCAAGCTGCACTGAAAACATTAACACACACACAGACCCCAGGAGCTGACCCCCATTGATGGAATACCAACTGAACCGTGTCAACAAGCTGTTGAAGCACTGGAAGCATTCACTGATCTATGCTCAGAAAATTTTAAGACAGCTACCTGGCCGACTGACTCGAAGAAATCCATGTTTTGTCCATTTCAAAGAAAGGTGACCCAACACAGTACACAAATTATAGGACAACATGCAAGTAAAATGTCCCTGAGCGTCATCCAACAACAGCGAGCCACCAGAGGTTCAGGCCAGACTCAAAGAGGACATGGAAAAGGGATCTCCTTGCTGATGGCAGATGGATTTGAGCCAAAAGAAGAGATTACCAGAAAGATGCTTTATTGGCTATGCAAAGTGGTTCAATGGTGTGGATCATAACAAATTATGTTACTTTGGGAATAATAATATAGTGCTCATATAGGACCTGTACATGGCTCAAGTGGATGTTTTATGAACAGAACAAGGGCATACTGCGAGGTTTAAAATGAGGAAACGTGTGTCAACATTGTATCCTCCCACCATACTTATCCAATCTGTGTGCCGAGAACATCATCAGAGAAACTATTATATGAAGAAGAACGTGGCATCAGGCTTGGAAGAAGGCTTATTGTATGTAGTTGACACAACCTTGCTTGCTGACAGTGGGGAGCACTTGAAGTAGTTGCTGGTAGCGATCAAGTTTTGAAGCCTTTAGTATGAATTACAATTTAATGTAAAGAAAACCAAAATCCTCAGAACTAGACCAATAGCTAACACCATGCTAAACAGAAAAGATGGAAGTTGTCAAGGATTTTGTCTTGGTTGGATCCACAAGCAATGCTCATGGAAGCAGCAGTCAAGGGATCAAACAATGCATTGCCTTGGGTAAATCTGCTCCATGAGACCTCTTGAAAGTGTTGGAAAGTCAGTAGATTACTTCCAGGACTAAGGTGGGACTGCTCTCATCAGGTGTATGTGCATGAAAGGTGTGCATTGAATCGGGAAGACCAGAGCAGCAGCCATGCATTTGCGTTATGGTGCTGGTAAAGCATATCGAAGGGACCATGGACTGCCAACAGAACAAACAGATCTGCCTTGGAAGAAATATAGCCAGACGGCTCCTTAGAGGCAAGGCTGGTGAGACTTTTTCTCATGGACTTTGGACAGGTTATAAAGAAAGACTATTTCCCCGAAAAGGTACATCAGGTTGGGTAAAGAGGAGGTGCCGTGAAAAAGAAGGCCCTCAGCAAGATGCATTGACACAGTGGCTGCAACACACAGAAAAATTGGGAGCGCTGTGCCGGTCCCAGCAGTGCTTAGTTCTGGTGTCCACAGGGTTGCTGTGAGCAGGAACCAAGTTGAAGGCTTCTAACCACAGCAATAAAAGATGATTAAATTAATGCATACAGGTTGTTGGTGTGTTGGCATGCTAACTTCCGAGGTGTGTTCATCATGGGGACAAACATACATGATGGATGGTGTCCGGCTACAGAAGGCTGACCGTTCCCATGCTTTACTTTCAGGGACTGTGTGCAGTGGACAGAGCCCCGGGCTTCATTCCCAAGGCTCAGCAGTTTGGCCTGGCACAGGACAGCCACTTTGTGTTTCACTTTAATCAGTCTGCTGTTAGAAAGAGGTGGGTATTTCTCTACCACTGCTATGAGGCATCGATTCCTCTTTGTGCTAGAGGAGTCTGGGAGGGCCCTTCATCCACAAGCCTTGTCCAAAGGAAGCTTCTGTGTTCTTTAATATGGGGACATGAGTGACAGCCACATGGCAGCTGAGAAAAGAGAAAGAGGGGCTCATGAAGAGTTTGTCTTTCTTGTCTTTACCTCTTCTTGCTGATGGCTGGCACATATACAGTGAACCCTCGTTTATCGCGGTTAATCGGTTCTAGACCCTACCATGATAAATGAAATTCCGCGAAGTAGGATTCTTTGCGCTTTGCTTTTCCTTGTTGAAAGTGAAAGTAGCCGTAGCACGGATGTTTTTTTCCTCTTTACGGATGGAGCGAACGGAAGACTCATTCAAGTCAAAATGGCGTGCAACCTCCATGATTTTCTTGCCATCTTTGATCATATCCAAAAGTTTTACCTTTTCCTGGATGGTGAGCATCTTCCTCTGGGGCTTATTTTTATTGTCAGAAGGCTTAGAAGAAGCAGCTTGTTTAGGAGTCATCATAGGGCTTAGATAAAATTTCTTAAAAATCGCAAACAATTACAGTACACTGTACAAAAGCAAAAATGCATCTGATACGTAGCTCCAATACGTAGCGATGCAGACAGAAGCGTGTACTGTATGAGCCAATCAGTGGCAGTAATGACAGAGCATGCACTGTTATGCAAAAACCGCGATAGAGTGAAGCCGCGGAAGTCGAAGCGCGAAGTGGCGAGGGTTCACTGTCTATATCTATCTAAATAAGTCTTTCTTCCAAAATCCTCAAACCCCCCCACCCCCAGATTGATCATCCTTTGGCATTTTATCCCATTCTCTTTAAAGTCCCCCTAGATGGGTGCCATTGTCTACCTAAACTCTTTCTCTATGTCCTCGAATTCCTACACTGCACCCATTCCTCCACAAGGTCCTGGACTTGGTGGCTGTCTGTCCCCAGAACCCTTCTCCACAAAACCTCCCTTGCCCCATGACATGCAAGGTCTCCCTAGCTGAGATTGCCCTGCTCCACATATTCCTCTCTCCGCCTCCGCCTCTCCCGTTCCACCAAAGTCCAGACTTTCAGACTTTCCCCTTCGCTACTATTGTCTGTGACTCCGCACCCTGGTCACCTGACTTCTGACCACGGTTCACTCTTCAGCCCTCTCATTTCTAGTTTGATATTCAAATCCTAGCACTTCTTACCCCCATCGCAGTCTCTAAGTTACTAGCTGTACTTCTTTTCAGTACGGTCAGCCCTCTTCTCTTGCCCCCACATCGAATGCCTCGATGCGCACCCCCCACCCCCACCCCGCCCAAGAAATTGCCTGCTAGTATTAACTGTTCTGTCATACATGCCTTCTGTCCTCCACTATTGTAACCCCAGTTTGCAACCCACCAATCTGCTTTCTCCATGCCAGAACTGAAATTGGTCATGACAGTTGGAGAAATGCATATCTCTCTCCTGACACATTGTTCTTGAAAACAATGAACACACATCACAGATGGACGCTCTAAATTACAAAATAGTCCATTACTTTCTTTAGCATGCTCGCCTTTTATTTTCTATCATACCCTATTCATGGCTTGTCTTCAAATTCCAATATCTCATACATCCTCACACCTCTGTTTGAACCCTAGATGATGATTTTACCTCACTGGGGGGGGAGGGGGGGCTTTGTCTTTTTACAATAAAAAAGAGCCAGCACCACCATTTGCTCTCAACTTACTGTCGCTTCTCCCATGACCTTAGATGAGGGGCCCTATTCCTAGCAAGGCTACCCCCCACTCTGGGTCCTGCGCCCCTCTCCTCCTCAGGGATAACAGCAGCCCCCATCGTCCCTTCATTAACACGACTTACCATCAGCCCACAGGTGTGCTGATTGATAAGAAGCGCAGCGAAGACTGCACTCCACATTTTACACATGCCACTAATTTCAGCCTCATAATTATTCTATGAGGCAGGTCTTATGATTATCCTTAATTATACTGAAGGAAACGAGACAAAGAGAAGTTAGGCCAATCTATTCCAAGTCACCCAGCTGGTGAGAGAGCGAGCTGGGGTTCAGCCATCAGTAGTCAGCTGCCAAAGTCCATACCTGCAATCGTTACACTTATACCCACTCCTTCGCCTTCTAGCTTGGCACACAGAAACCTCACACGTTGCTCCTCATGTACAGACCCAATAGCTAGACCCTGTTTCACAGTAAGACTTTTGGAAAGAGTTTCTATTACTGTCTGTCTGCTCCTAACCTCCTAACCTCTTCTCACCTGGCCAACTATTCACCCTCTACTTCATTTCACAGGTTGTTCTTCTTAGAGTTATCTAAGACCTCTATGTGGGCCCACCCAGAGTTGCCCTCTCTGTGGTATACTCAGCAGCATTACACATACTCGACTGTTCAAATCCTCTCCTAATTTCCCTGTTCCTCTGCCTGCCAGTCCTTATCACTTTACTTAGCAGGCTCTTCTTTCAGCAAAGAACATCCCAAGCCCTCATCCATACAACCTTCTGTAGTCCCATGATTTTAAACATCAACTACATGTCCCAACCCCCACCTCATTAGCCCTGCCACAGTGTATAACCAACTGGCTAGTCGACAGCCCATGTGGGCGTTAGGAGACAACGGAACTGTAGTACACCAAAGCAGTTTCATGATATTGCACAAGCCTGCTCTCCTGGTATTCCCCATTGCTGTAGGCATGATCACATTCTTCTAGTGCCAAGGCCCAAACCTATATGAGATTTTGAAATTGTTTTCTTTCCCTCACTTACCAAGCTAAGTCCATCAGGAAGTCCTATTGAGTTTTCCTCTGGAACATTTCAGAATTCGCTTAACTCCTCCTCATATCCAGTACACCATGCTATGCCACCATCTTGCCTCTGCCATCTATTCTAATAGCTGCCTTCCACTCCCTGCCCCTCACTCTTGCCTGATCCAAGTCATAAATCACACACCAGACGGAAGAAGCATTTGACTTAATGCTAGGACTACTAAAGGTGGCCACCAATTCCCCTCTGCATGACCCAGTCTTAACTCTCTGTCCGGCACTCAGTCCTCGTGTATAGTTTCTGATATTCACTTCAGGAAAGATGGGATCTACCTTTTTCATTCACTGCTTTATCCTGAGCAGCTAGGAGAGTTTCAGGCATATGTGGTAGAAAGAACCATTTGTTGAACGAGTAGATGGATCAATGAATGAATGAATCTCATGCCTAGCTATCTATCTTTCTATATCTATATTGAAATACTTATTGACTTCTCTCTTTGGGGTTATGTTTAAAAAAGAGTTAAAAGTGATTCCTTTCTGAATGAGCAGCTCTTGTTTTCTTCCAGGCTTTCTGTTCAGCTCAGGATACGAACATTTGCCTCCCGTGGTCTCATTTACTACATGGCTCATCAGAACCAAGTTGATTATGCTACACTCCAGCTCCATGGGGGCTACCTCCACTTCATGTTTGACCTTGGCAAAAGCAGGACAAAGGTCTCACACCCCACACAGATCAATGACGGCCAGTGGCACATGGTATGTTATTTGGAGCTTTGCAATATCATGGTCTGAATGCTATTCAATTTGTCACTTTTGTTTGCGCCATAGCACTGCAATGGAATGCTTCCCTTAGACGCTAGCCTACCCCAGGCCTAGTGTATCGCCCCCAGAGAACTGCAGCTCTGTGAAGGCAAAGGTGCTTTCTGTTTCATATAGATCCTCCAGGCTCTGACAGTAAACACTGGCAGGAGGAAGCAACCGTTCCCCAAACACCCTCTAAATGCGAAGACGTCAAAGCCATCACCTATGGCACAGATAGACCAGAGCTGAGCTCATACACTGGCTTGCTGATACATAGAACTCTGGAAGACTTTTCATTTGGAAATATGCTTTCCCCAACCCTGGGTCTGCACTTCTGCCAGACTCAGTTCTGTCTCAAGGCCAAATAGGTGAAACCCTGATCCATCCTTTAGGATGGAGTTCAAGTAATACAGCTGTAATAAATGGATATTGAAAAAAAAAAAGCTGTAATGCTTCCTTGTGTTCATTAAAAATCATAGATGTTTTCATTTTGCTTTAGGTCAAGACAGAATATGTTAAAAGAAAGGGATTCTTGACTGTTGACAAGCTAGAATCCCCAGCAGTGCCCACGGTGGGTGATGGCACAACATTGGATGTGGAAGGAAAGTTCTACCTAGGAGGCCTTCCTGCTGAGTACAGGGCCAAAAATATTGGAAATGTAAGCATCTTCCCGATATAGACGTGTGCTTTACCAGGAGTATGGTGTGTTCATGTATTTTGTACAGGAAAGTTGTTCTTCACATATTTATGGTTAAATCACCTTCTATGACCCTGGTGCTTGACTACAATATATGCATATCCTTCAGAACATGTCCCTAGAGTTTATGTGCTGATTTCCCTTTAAGGTCTAGCCAAACTTTCCTTCCTATTACTTAATGAGCATTTTCATTTTCCCAGCCACTGAGCCATAGTATGAATGGAGAAAGACCATCAAAGTTATCTTTAAAGATTTGTAAATTCAGCTTTCTTATTTCCCTGATATTTTATTAAATATTAGAAACCATCTTTATTGTATTATCCACAATGTTCAGATGTACTCAAACATGTGTGAAGTATTTCAGCAACTTAATTTAAAGAACAAAAAGATAATATTTTAATTTGCTTTAATGAGCTTGCAAATGTGATGAACTATAGGGGGGAAATGTGCCCTCACTATACCATCATAATTACCACCATCTTCTCTATATCTGGCTCAGATCACCCACAGCATCCCTGCCTGCATTGAGGCGGTGACCATTAACAGCAAACCATTGGACATGGGCAACCCAGTGTCTGCTTCTGCAGTGAACAAATGCTATGCAGTGGCTCAAGAAGGAACTTTCTTTGAAGGAAGTGGATATGCTGCTCTTGGTATGTATTATCCATCAGCTTAAGGAAAACTTTTGGAATCAGCCTGCAGTCTAGGAAGACATGCATCTGAGAACTGTAGAAGACAGGACCGAGCAAGGCTGAAGGAAGACCACTTCTAGTTAAATGTCTCGGTTTATTCTAATTTCTTGGCCTTTAAAGTAAGAGCCTCCTCATCTCTTATTCTCCCCCGTCAGCAATCATGTGACTCCTGACAGAGGACAGGCACACAGTGTTCATTTCATCTGTCCTGTCCTCAAACTTATGTACGGCACACTCTCGCTGTCCAATTCCCTAACGGCTTTTGAATAAGAATTAGGTACATGGAATATGTAGACCAGCAAGCTGAATACAAGTCAGGTTTGATTGATCCTATTTAGATTGCTGAAAACAACCAATTTTTTAAAATGGAGTTGAAATCTCTAAAATATTTGAGAATTGAAATTCCTCTGAACTTAGAACTGGCTTCTGCAATGACTATCCAATCCCTCCTTTAGATGCTTGATTTGCAGGTGAACTTCCTGCTTACCCAAGTACATGCTCTCTCTGCCCCATTCTGCCTTCTATCGCAAGAGCTGGATCTCTGGCTCCAATGCCCTCTGGCTTCCAGGAAGGCTGAGATGGAAAGTTGGGAAGTGCGAGAAGGGACAGGGCTAGCACTTTTCTCTCCTTCACTCTGCATTTCCTATGGCAGCTTAGGTAACTTCTTCCTGGTTCAGCCTATGGGTCTTGTTGGGCAACTCCCCGCCCCGTACCCCAGCTCCCAAGCTATGGTTTTTCCACTTTCTCCTATTTTCCTTCATCCCTGGAGATAACATCAACCACCTGCTACTGCAAATAGTTCACCGTCTTCTCAGTTTTTTCATCACCTCAATAAAAATTCTCTCAACTAAACTCCCTCTCTTTCTGACACACTCAGTAAATGATGATAACCAGTATGTAGAAATTAGCAAAGTAAAATCAACCTCCAGATCATGATGAAGGATTTGATACGGATCAAATCCTTTTGGTTTTTTGCTTCGCTCTTCCATAGAGCAAACCTGTGCAGGGTACAAATGCCTATGTGGCCATGGTTGAAAGGACACGCCTGTTCTCAATCGAGTCTGGCTTTTCTCAGTAGATTGCACGGAACAGACTCAGAAGCTGAGGTTCAGGGTGTAGGACTTGCTTGTGGTCCTTGACCCAGAGGAAAAGAACCAAGTCTTTTGAGCCTCAGTCAGGAGCAGCAGTATGCAGCCCACAGCCTCCCTGTGAGCTGGGCCATCGCCAGCCTGGCAAGGTTCCCCTCTCACTCTGCGTTGTCCTCTTGTTGTCCAGTTAAAGAAGGCTATAAAGTCCGGTCCGACCTAAACATCACCCTCGAGTTCCGGACGGCTTCCATGAATGGTGTCCTCTTGGGGATCAGCAATGCCGAAGTGGATGCCATTGGATTAGAGATCGTCCATGGAAAGGTAGGTGCTGAGCCTTGGCAGGATCATCCAGTGGCCCAGTGACAGAACCGAGCAGTTCAGAAACCACCACCTAGATCCAACCGTCTACTGTAATGAAGTAGAGGAGAAGGGTCAATAAATATTTAAATACAAATTATTCAAAAATCTTTTACTCCACTTCTTTCATCATTTCGAAAGTAAAGTTATAGCAAAGCTTTTTTCCTTAAACTGTATGAGCGAACGTTATCCATCTGATGTCCATCTATCACCATCCACTGTTATGAGTTGGTTCCAACTCACAGTGACACCCTATAGGATTTTTGAAGTTTTGCAAATTTTGATGGGACCAGACAGCTTCATTGTTTTCTCTCTCTCAGAGTAACGGGTGGGTTTGAACTACCAAACTTGCAATCCAACACGTATTCAAAAGATTCATGAAACAGCCTGATGCGCCTCTCGCCTCAGTACAAGGATGCTTCTAAAAGCTCATGGAAACAGCCGTGATTCTTTAATTCCATTTTTTTTCATGAGCTTTTTTGACACCCACTGGCATTACTTTAACCTTTTATTTGGGAATAAATGCAGATTCATAAGAAGTTGCAATGAAATGTACCCATCATCACCTCTCCCTTAGTGTAGCATCTTGTTCAAATCGCTGCCTCATTGTAAGGACAGTAAGAGCTTATGGGTCCACAGAGAGTGTCCCTTCAGGCCCTATGAAAGCACCTTCCCTGACTCCCTCCTGACAACCTGCAGATACTCCGCCACAGCAAGTGGGACCTCAGAAAACCGAAGCTTTGCAAAGGTCAGGGGTGGGAGCGGTGGAGAATTGCAAGTATTCAGTTGTATGGTTTTTAATACTGTCTATAAAGCTATTCAGTATTGTTTGAAGTTGGGCTATAAAAAATAAAGATGTATATTAAAATTCTTGGGAAACCATTAAAAAAATTTTAAAGATCAGCAATCAGATAATAACATAGATAAGATGTAAAATATGTGAGAAATTCCTTTTTTGTGGGGAGAGTAGCTTTTACACTTCTTGTAGGATTTTTTAGGTGCCATAAAACCTTAGAAAATAAGTAAAAAGTTCTTGTGAGGTATAAAAACCCACCTTTTGCCATCAAGTTGATTCTGACTCACAGTGACTGTATTAGGACAGGATGGGTTTCTGAGACCATCTCTCTTTATGGGCGTAGAAATACAGGAAGGGAAATGGGTGGCTATACGTCACAGGGTAGAGAGTCGGTGATACGTACAGATAGAGGCTGTGTGGTTTGACACAAAGATGAAGAGTAGGCGAAGGGAGCAGGTCAGCTGTGAGTGGTTAGACCCTCTTCTCCACTGCTGGACCTCCTCGGAGGACAAGCATGGGGGGGGGGGGTACATACTGGAAGGTGCTTTAGGCTTGTTCCGCTGGAGGTGGCCCTTGGCCCTATTGGGAATCTTAATTTTGCACAGCTTCTTGATTCCTTGAAGAGGTTTCTGTTTTTCAAAATGATGGGTTTTGTTAGCTTGCTTTTTTGTTAGTAGCTAACCCTTGTTTTTAGCGGAATGCTCTGAATTCATCCATTCCAAGAGCATCATACAAATGTTTCTTAAATGTGGAAAAGTCACCAAGATGTTTACTTGCGTATGTTGTGTGTTTAGCTTTTGTTTCATGTTAACAATGGGGCTGGTAGGATAACGGCCACATATGAGCCCAAAGCTCCAAGGACTCTCTGTGATGGGAAATGGCACACGCTTCAAGCTAACAAAAGCAAACACCGCGTGGTTCTGACCGTCGACGGAGATGCAGTTCATGCTGAAAGTCCACACACCCAGTCCACCTCGGCAGACACTAACAATCCGATTTACATTGGTGGCTACCCTGGTATGTATGGCTCCCTGTTCTGTTGTTTTGCTACCATTAGGGGAAGTCCTAGTTTGGGAAGGTAATGAAAACTAAACAAACAAACAGCTTACTGCTACTAAAGGCAATTCCAATGCTTCAGGGCCCTGTAGGATGGAGCAGAACTGCCCCTGTGGGTTTCCAAGACTTTTCATCTTTATGGGAGTAGATAGCCTCATCTTTCTCCTTTAGAGTGTCTGGTGGGTTTGAACTTCTGACATTGTGGCTAGTAGCTTACTACATAGCCTGCTGCTACACCACTGGGGCTCTTTGAATAGAGTAGAGGAATTGAAAAGATACAGATGTTGAGAGACAAATCCTCTATGGTTAGAAAGGCTATCATTTCAAATACTTAGGAATTCTTGGAAAAGTAAAATGATAGTGATGAAAGATGGTGAAAAAAAACACTAGATCGGATTTAAAGTAAGTTTGGAAGGCTTTACTGAGCAGAAGGGCTTATAAATTTTTTTTTGAAAGGCTTATAATTTTAGGGAACAAATATATGTCTTATTGTTTCACATTAAATTTTATTAGACTCATGCATTTCAGCTATTTATAATTGTTAGAATTGATAATAATATACATTTATTCTATGACTTTTAACATAACAATGTCTTGATTATTCTATATTAAAATGTTCATATGCATTCTACTCTTTACCAAAGTCACAAATATGGAAAGAAATTCTTGTATTTTTAAAAAAATTCTTGTATTTTTGATAGAGAAATCACTTGCCATTATTCTTGTCTCTGTTTTGCAGCCTATATCATTTCTACAAAATTAAGTGAGATATATCTCTTTTTCCCTCTTTCTTAAACAGCTGATGTAAAGCAGAATTGCCTGACCAGCCAAACCTCATTCCGGGGCTGCTTGAGAAAGCTCACTCTGACAAAGGGTCCACACGTGCAATCCTACGACTTCAGCAAAGCTTTCTACCTACAAGGCGTGTCCCCTCATTCCTGTCCTGGAGCTGAGGCCTGAACCCAGGGACAGCCTTCCGTTGGCAATCGTTATGTATATTTTGAGGAGAATTACTTTCGTGAATTAAAGTCTCTTTCATTTCCAACTCAGGTTAAATGTATCCAGAGAGAAAAACTGCGCTTATGTTAAACATAAACCAGATGCACAACAAATACCTCTATTAAATATCTCAAGTTATAATTTGAATTAATTGGCTAATTTTGTAATTTTTTAAACTTTGTTAACACTAAATGTTCTGTTGATGACAGCAGTATTTCATGTTTTGCATTTTGAGCTTTTAAAAAATAAAATATCATTACAGACTGCAATAGATTAGAACAGAGTATGAATAGTTATGTTTTCTTGTCAAAATTGTAAGCCCCCATTTTTACAAGAGAAAAACAATGCCATTGGTTAAATTCCAATATTGGGCGCAAACAATTCACAACATGAGCTTTACAACAATTATAGGAAGCAAAAGCAGCAAAGGAAAGGGATGGAACAACCTTCCGATACATCCTTGTTCAGTTAGGACCGACTCACCGGTCTTCAGCCAGACGAAAAGATTTAAAATGGTATTGCAAGCAGTTCGCTCTTCCTTTACTGTCACCTCTCCTCACCTTTTGGAATAAGATTGCTTGTCTTGATCAGCCACCTTTTTCTAGGAGAATATTCACAATTATAGAAAGAAAGAAAATTTAAAATCCATGTAGATATGATCATTTTAATAGTCTAAGCACTTTTAAGCCTAGATTTCTGAAATCTCATTTTTCTTTTGCTCTGGGCCCAAGGATGGGGTCACAGTGGCTATTATCCCATATGCTTCTGACTAATAATTTCATTTTCCAACACTGATTGAAGTCTGCTCTCTACCACTCCCTCTCTCAGCAGTGACACACTTTTCCCAAAGGGAAGACAGCAGATTCAGTGTTTGTGTCTGTTAGATTACAATTGGATAACTGAGTGAAGCCACCGAGGCTCTAGTCCCTATCCATCTTCTATGTCTGGGTCGTGTCTCTAAGCCTGTAGCCAGCTGTATCTTGTGAATGATGCATTTGGAATTTCCGATTTCCTCCTGACAGCTGTGTGAAGATATTCTTCTGGAAAGGCAGTAGTCAGTTGTGGAAGAACTGGTTGTGCTGCAACACCTGGTGAAATGGAGAAGTCAGACTCCTGCACCGTAAGGACAGTCCAGTTGGGCAGCTGACTTAAGAACAGAGCATTGCTGCTGCAGGTGACAGGCAGTAGTGCAAATGTACAGGGATTTCTCACTGTGGTGTGGGTGACCTTTCTGCTCATGTTTCTATAGGAACGAGCTGTAGTGGGAGACAAGACTTGGATAGTCTAATCCTTGGTCCTTCGTCCACATATAGGGCAAGGAAGTGCTCCTAATTGGGACAAAGTGTCCCTGGTGACTTCAATGGTAAATTCAACCAAATAGATAGAGAAGCAGTGACACAAAATCTACTCAAACTATTCCAGAGTATAGAAAGCCCCCAAATTTATTTTATGAATTGGGCATAACCTTGATACTCAAACCAGGTAGAAAGATCACTAAAATAGATAGAACATAAGTACAAGAATGCTGAGTAAAATTCTAGCTAATAGAATTCAACAGTACATGTAAAAAAAGGCATGATCAAGTGGGATTCATACAAGGTATGCAAGGATAAATCAACATTAGAAAAGCAATCAATATAATCCATCACATAAATAAAACTTCAAGATCGTATTGACCAACACAGAAAGAGCATTTGGAAAAATTCAGTCCTCAGTCCTGAAAGAACTTTCAATAAACTAGGAGTAAAAGGTAAATTCATCAATATAATACGAGGCAGATATACAGAAGGAATGGCCAACCTTGCTATCACTGGAAAGAAACGGAGCACACGCGCGTGAAACAGGAACCAACCAGAGACATCCGTTATCACCCCTGTGTTCAGTATTGTGCTTGACGTCTTCGCTGGAGGTATAAAGCAAGAGAGGGAACTGAAAAGTATTGAAGGTGGCACGGAAGAAATAAAACTCCCTCTATTTTCAGATGATATAATCCTATATATAGGAAATCCAAAAATTTGGCAAGAAAACTGTTGGAACTAAGTGAACGATTCCGCAAAGTGTCAAGAGGTATAAGAGCAATAAAAATGAATAAATGAGGAATCCTTTATGCTTACAAAGAAAGCTCTGATAAAGGCTTGAAGTTAAACAAGTGACCATCTAGCAGGGAAGCAACAAAGCCCATATGGAAGAAGCACACCAACCCTGGTGAACACAAGGTGTCAATAAGATGAGGTATCAGGCACCAAAACAAACAAGCATTTGGATGTGAACGATGGGGTCCACTGAATTGATACCCAAAGCCCATCTATAGACAATTGGACATCCCCTCACAGAAGGGTCACAAGGAAGGGATGAGCCAGCCAAGGTGCAATCTAGCACTGATGAAACACAACATTCCTCTAGTTCTTTAATGCTTCCTCCCCCCCAACCATCATGACACCAGTTCTATTTTACAAATCTGGCTAGAACAGAGCATGTACACTGGTACAGATAAGAGCTCTCAACACACAGAATCTAGGACAGATAATCCCCTCAGAACCAATAATGAGCGTAGTGATACAATGAGGGGAAGGGGAAGGTGGGGCTGAAGAGAGGGAAAGGGGGAACCTATTGCAATGATCGGCGTACAACACCCGCCCCCACAGGGGGATGAACAACAACAGAAATGAGGGTGAAAGGAGCCAGTGCACAGTTTAAAATATGAAAATAAAAATAATTTATAAATTATCAAGGGTTCATGAAGGTGGGAGGGGGAATGGAAAGAGGATCTGATACCAGGGCTCAAGTAGAAAGAAAATGTTCTTGAAAAGATGATGGCAGCATATGTACAAATGTGCTTGATACACTTGATGACTTGATGTATGGATTGTTATAAAACCTGTAAGAGCCCCCAATAAAATGATTCATTAAAATTAAACAGACAAAGAGAGCTTTGAAAAGGAAATCAGGAAAATGATACTGTGTCAGTCTGGATTGACTAGAGAAACAAATCCAGAGGCATTCAAGTGTGTATAAGAAAGAGGTTTATAGCACACCAGCCTGTGAGATCATGAGGTGTCGAAGGGATCAGGTATCAGGCATCATCAGAACAAAAAATCTTACCATAGTGAATGATGGGGGGAGTGCAGAGTG